AGCAGTTTATGAAATCTCATGGGGTTATTCATCAAACATCTTGTCCGTACACATCTCAACAAAATGGGGTAGCTGAAAGAAAGAATAGACATCTTATTGAAACTGCTCGTACCCTGCTCATACAATCTCATGCCCCGTTGCGTTTTTGGGGGGATGCAGTTCTTACATCTTGCTATCTTATTAATCGTATGCCATCTTCAGCTATCCAGAACCAAGTTCCATTCTCTCTTCCACCTCGTATCTTTGGAAGCACTTGTTTTGTCCATAACCTTACTCCAGCAACAGATAAGTTAGCTCCTCGTGCTCCTAAGTGCGTATTTCTGGGTTTCTCGAGAACACAAAAGGGATATCGATGCTGCTCTCCTGACCTCCAGCGGTACCTTATGTCCGCTGATGTTACCTTCTTTGAAACCCAATCATACTTCACAGGTTCAGGTCATCACTTAGATATTTTTGAGGTACTACCAGTTTCATCTTTTGGAAATTTAGTCACTCCAGCTCCACCACCTAAAGCTCCAGTTGTAGCTCCACCACCTATAGCTCCGGTTGTACCACCTATAGCTCCAGTTCCTTCACATAATCCAGTTCAACCTTCTGCAGCTCCACCACTCTTGACTTATCATTGTCGTCCACATCCAACATCAGGCCTAGGTGATTCACGCCCCGCATCAGATTCTGCACCTACTGCGAACTTGTCTCCTCTTAGTCAACCAATTGCACTCCGCAAAGGTGTACGATCCACACTTAATCCTAATCCCCACTATGTCGGTTTAAGTTATCATCGTCTGTCGTCACCACATTATGCTTTTATATCTTCTTTGTCCACTGTTTCTATCCCTAAGTCTACAGGTGAGGCACTATCTCATCCAGGATGGCGACATGCTATGATTGACGAGATGTCTGCTTTACATGCGAGTGACACTTGGGAGCTTGTTCCTCTTCCTGCAGGTAAGTCTACTGTTGGTTGTCGTTGGGTTTATGCAGTCAAAGTCGGCCCGGATGGCCAGGTTGATCGGCTTAAGGCTCGTCTTGTTGCAAAAGGATATACTCAGATTTTTGGGCTTGATTATAGTGATACTTTCTCTCCCGTGGCTAAAGTAGCATCTGTTCGTCTCTTTTTGTCCATGGCTGTTGTACGTCATTGGCCTCTTTATCAGTTAGACATTAAGAATGCTTTTCTCCACGGTGATCTTGAGGAAGAAGTTTATATGGAGCAACCACCTGGTTTTGTTGCTCAGGGGGAGTTTAATGGTTGTGTGTGCAGATTGCGCAAGTCACTATATGGTTTGAAACAGTCCCCTCGAGCTTGGTTTGGTAAGTTTTGCACAATTATTCAGGAGTTCGGCATGACTCGTAGTGAGGCTGATCACTCTGTGTTTTATCGGCATTCTGCTCCTAATCTGTGTATTTATCTAGTGGTTTATGTTGATGATATTGTTATTACTGGTAATGATCAGGATGGTATTACTAATATGAAACAACATCTTTTTCAGTACTTCCAGACCAAGGATCTGGGCAGATTGAAGTATTTTCTAGGTATTGAGGTCGCTCAGTCTAGCTCAGGTATTGTTATTTCACAGCGGAAGTATGCCTTAGACATTCTTGAGGAGACTGGAATGATGAGTTGCAGACCTATTGACTCTCCTGTGGATCCAAATGCTAAGCTTCTGCCTGGACAGGGGGAGTCTCTTAGAGACCCTACGAGATATAGGAGGTTGGTTGACAAATTGAATTACCTCACAGTGACTAGACCTGACATTTCTTTTCCGGTGAGTGTTGTAAGTCAGTTTATGGATTCTCCTTGTGATAGTTACTGGGATGAAGTTGTTCGCATTCTTCGATATATAAAGTCAGCTGCAGGCAAAGGATTATTATTCGAGGATCGAGGCCATGAGCAGATTGTTGAGTACACAGATGGATATTGTGTTCTAGTAGGAGGTAATTTGGTCTCGTGGAAGAGCAAGAAGCAGAATGTAGTTGCTCGATCTAGCGCTGAAGCCAAATATCGGGCCATGGCTATGGCGACATATGAGTTAGTTTGGGTCAAGTAGTTGCTCAAGGAGTTAAAGTTCGGAGAAATCAGCAAGATGGAACTAGTGTGTGATAACCAAGCTGCTCTTCATATTGCGTCAAATCCGGTGTTCCATGAGAGGACTAAACACATTGAGATCGACTGTCACTTTGTCAGAGAAAAAATACTTTCAGGAGATATTGTTACAAAGTTTGTAAAGTCGAATGATCAACTAGCAGATATTTTCACTAAGTCTCTTACTGGTTCTCGTATTAGTTACATGTGTAACAAGCTCGGTACATATGATGTGTATGCACCGGCTTGAGGGNCCTCTTGTATTGTATTTATCATCCAATATCAATAACATATTTTCTCCCGTACCTTCTCACAAGTATTAATTAGAGTTTGAAAATGTCATAGCTGAAAGATTTGGTTCAAACGCGGCTTAATGCTCTATTCACTTTCTCTTGGAAGGTACAAGCCTCAGTTGCTTTCTACAGGTTCTATGCATCCTCTAAGCCAGAAACTTTGATACCTTTCTTCGATGGAATGATTAACAATCTGCCTGTATTTCAACAGGTGTGCAAATATAGAGCCCACCATATTATAAAAGTATCTTATGCTAACAAGTGCAATAGACTGATGGTGTATTTTCTTGCTTTCTGCTATTTGAAATTCAGAATGACAAACAAATGGTCCAAGATGCAGCATCAATGGTGTTTACCGGTATAGCTTAATTGTCTAAGGTATTACCTAGATTATATTAAGGATAATTTTTTTACTTAATCCTATTTCTATTTATATTAAGTAGAAGGATGTAATATATTATACTTCAACAGGAATACTGCAGAATAAACTATGACACTGTTATGCAGTACTTAAAAACCGCCATGGCAAACAGAAACTCTAATGTATTAGGTCGGGCCAGAGCAATGTACTCCATAAGCTATCTTGGGTTCGCTGTTGGCAAAGAGAAATTCAGAGATGACGCAAAACAGGTCTTCTACAAACTTTGTCCAGTACCCAATACTTCTAGTCTAGTCACATATGAATGACATCAATGTTTAAAGCACAAATTTGGGACTCGAGTCACTGAGGATAGGCAGTTTCGTAACATTGCGGAGTGGCTATGGGAATTTTAGTTTTATGGGATCAATATTTCAGTAGCTGATGCTTTTATCTTATTCATGCTTTTCTACTTGTACAATTAGAGTCCCTTATGCCCTAAAGACATGGTGTACACGTTTTACGCATTGGATTACTTATCTTGCTCACCCGACAACATCTGTCATTAAATTCCTCTTAAAAAATTGGTTATAATGTATATAACATGTTTTAATTAATCCATATAATTAGAGATTTAGTTAATTAGAAGAGGAGAACCTTCAAAGCTCTAAATAATTAATTATTGGGAAGATAATGTTATATGCCAGTTTTAGAAATAGAATGTCTCCTCTCTCTGGAACTCCCAGAGACTCAACAAGAGGTAAACCTTCGATTCTCTGATGAACTTACGGATGACATGTAGAGATAATGATTTCTCTGTAGGAACTTAAAAGTTTTCTGTTGTTTGAGTTGTAACAATGGAGGAACCTGTCTGAGCATCAGGTGAGAGAATGGTAAAAGGGCTCCACCTCAGATTCCAAAGTCTGTAACTCTATATTGCAATCTCAGCACCACTGCTCAGCCCGAACATCTTATGAAGAGCCATCCCAAGATGCTGGAAGTGAATATTGCCGAAATGCCAATCCTCTGAATCAAAAGCCTCAAGGGTTTGTCAAGAGGTACAGAGGTGGATGGGAGGGACCTTCGTAATTCTTGACAGATGGGACAGTGGGAACGGGGTGTAGCAAAAATGGGGGAGATCTGGTAGTGAATATCGTTGAAATGTCGATCCTTCTTGGCATTAAGTAGTTCTAAAAAGTGGGTGAACTTTTGGGAGGTTCTAGTGGTGTCAATTGCAAAATTACTGATATGTCAAGAGTAAAGATTATTGTAAAAGATGATAACAACAACAACATACCCAGTGTAATCTCACAGGTAGGGTATGGGAGGGTAGTGTGTACGCGGACTATATCAGTACTATATCATCTGCAAATAACATGCACCATAGCACCTCCCCTTGAATGTGGCGCGTCAGTGCGTCCATCGCCAAGGCAAATAAAAACTGGCTAAGAGTTATCCCTAGTGTAATCCCATCACAACTGGGAAGTGGGCCGAGTCTCCTCCCATTGTCCTCACCCGGGTTTTAGCTCCATCATACATGTCCTTAATCACCATAGTGTATGCTAAGGAACACCTCTATCCTCCAAACATCTATTTTGTCATATGCTTTCTCTAGATAAAAATTATTGTAAAAGAACAATGGGAAAATGCGTGTCTCATTGCTTGTGGAGGACAGAGTGCTCTGCTATGCAATGGAGGTTATAATTAATCGGACAAACCTGTCAAAAGGCCTAGAGTTGTGCCGCTCGAATGGTCATAAGAAAGAGGCAAAGATTAGTAAAGTTATGACAGAAGGGAATATTTTGGCCCGGCAGGCAGCGCAAGGCCACTATTTGTAGGCCAGAGTTACTTAACTAAAATTAATAATGTACAAAGGGACTCTAAATATTGGAGTATAAGGTTATTTAAAAAATGGTATGCATGTGTAATTATTATCTATGCCAACAGCGTTAGGAATTTCTTACGATTAGATGAAGAACATTCTACAGTATCCTATTGAATATTATGGATTATTCTCTGATACTTCCGTTGACATGCTTTAAACATGCATACATTCTGTAAGGTATTAATTCTTTTTGACATTCTACAAAATCCTACACCCTTCAATAGTTGGCGCAACAAAAAATGACTGGAGTATCTTTTCCATTCTCCCTCCTTTGGGATTCTTGTCTTGGTGTTGTGTGGTATATATGAACTTATTTGTCTTCTGTCATTTCTCAATATATAAATCTTAGCTTTTTCTTTTTGTTGTTTTTATCACAAGGTAATGGAAGTTCTTCTGTCATTACTAGGATCACAACTGAAGGCGGACGATCGCAGTAATGTTTATCTATTCTTGGTAGGTATTGATATCTAGATTTTACGAGCACATACTTTCTCTCTAGATTGTCTTCTCTCAATTCTCTTGATTTCATTTTAGGCAGGAGCCAGAATTTTCTTATGCATGGGGAAGGAATTTCTTCCTTACATGAGGGTAGCCATCCCTTTTATGATTCAACTTGCTCAAGTTGAACTTGATATAACCATCTATGATCATTCATACTCTGGATTATATGGATTAGATTACGATAGGTAAGGTTTCCTGTATTTGTAAAGTTCACTTTTTTTCTTTTTATTGAATTTCCACGTTGTCTATTCTTTTCTCTTTTTCTTTTTCCTGTTCACAAAGATCAGGATGCAATGGTAGAAGTAGCAAAACCCAAAGTGACATTGTGGTATTATAGTCTTCTCATGGAGAATAGTTTATATTATTTTCTCATTCCATTGAAAAGTGGTACTTTATTTATCTGAAATGTTGTTGCCATCATGTATACTTGCTTGAGTTTGCTAATTTTTTTGGAACGAATTACTAAAGTTAATCTGAGTGGTATATATGTATGCTGCATTTTGTAAGACCAAATTTAGGATTCATATGATGGACTATCATTCTGTTGTATCTAGCATTGGAGTTTCAATAAATGATACACAAAATACTTCATTTAAAATTGAATATCCAGATTGAGACTTGATCATATTTTGGTTTCTACCATCTGGGAGGAGTTGGCCTCGATTGTGTTACAGCTCCCTTCCCCGAGACTGACATCAGATTATTCACCTATCATGTTGGATGGAGGAAGACGAAAAAGTACAAGACTCCTTTCAGATTTGAGAACATGTGATTACGAGCGAGGATTTTGATGAAAACGTGGTTGGATGGTAGAGTAACTACAATGTGGTGGGAAGCCCAGCTTACAGGCTTGCTAAGAAGTTGAAATTGCTCAAAGGTGTGAAACAATGAAGTTTTTGGGAGGGTAGAGGTGAAGATGAGGAACATTATAAATGAGTTGGGGGACCTAGAAAGGTAGAAGAGGGGAGGAGTTGGAAGAAAGTGAGAGAGAGAGAAATGATGGATTGAAGAGGGAACTAGCTTCTCTAGTGTTAGCTCTCACCTCCTAGAGTAAACTTGAACAACTGGCGGCCTTGTTAAAGCAGATAGAGCAATTGTTGACTCTTGAGACATAATAGTCGGTTGGTGCTCAATAAAAAAATCATCAACTGATTGTTCAGTCAAAGTACTAGTGACCTGGTAGATTAACCATTCATCTTCCTCCCTTGACTTGTAAAAATGAAAGGCGTATAGAAGAATGGTGTATTCTCCTAAAATACCACATCAGTTAACACAAGATATTTGCTCACTTCAGGAGAGTCACACTTTAAGGCCTTTGGGTCTAACTTGGTAACAAATGGTTGGACATCTCGAATATAACATGTACCTCCAAATACCTTAGGCTCCATCTGGAATAGTGACTTGTTTGGAAAGAGAACACCCTAATTCACACTATCAGCAAGCACGATAGATGATATGCGAATAATCATAAAACAAAGGGGCCCAATAGAGAGGCAGGAGACGAAGCAGCCCCCAGTTGGATTGGCCAACAAATAACAGGCCAGAGATATGGGCTCATTCGACTAATCAATGATCCCCGGGCCCACCTTACACAAATGTCCCAGAAATAGGGGATTGGTTGACCGGAAAGCTCAAGTAGGAGTAGGACACTCCATACAACTCTTTCTGACCCCCTAGTTGGGGCATCTATTAAGTACATCTACAAGACGATGACACTACATATGATATATCATTAGATTATTTATTTCAAAATGTGAAACTATATTTGCCCCTTCATAGTGAGTGGAAACTTACTTTCTATTTGATTAGTGAAATTTCTTGCCAGCTAAAGGATTAGTCCAAGTTAGATGGAGAAGTAAGAGTTTGTAGTTGAAGTTGGGAGGCTGGATAGAAAGTCATAGAGACTGCATCAGCCCAAAACTGTTTAGGAATCTTTGATCAGAAAAAACAGTACTCGAGCTATCTCAAGTAGATGCATGTTCTTCTTAGAAACTCCATTTTGAGAGGATGTATCAAGACAAGATAACTGGTACAAAATCCCATGTCTCATGTAGGAAAGGAATGAGTCTGAGAAGTATTCATTAGCATTGTCACTCTTTACTATGCACACAAAAGCACTCAATTGAGTTTTGACTTCAACACAAAAGTGGAAAACACTTCATATTGGTTTTTCATAAAAGAAATCTAAGTCATTCGAGAAAAAATCATTCACAACAGTAACAAATATTTATTCCCAGTTTTAGATATGGCATCGTCCCCGCACATCATAGTAAATTAACTCAAAATCAGACTCAACCTGTTTATTAACCCTTGGACTTAACGAGTTACAATGATGTTCTTCGTACTGGAACAAATCACAATCCAATGAAGAAACATCATAAAATTAAGGACAAAGCTTCTTCAACACATGGGAGAGACAAATGTCTTAACCGACAATGTGCTACAAATGGGGACTTGAAACTAGAGCAAGCAACAGATTGAGCCACCCATTCATCAAAGATGTAGAGACCATCAGATACATGTCTTTAACCAATAATTTGCTTCGTCATAAGATCCTGAGCAGACACTGTGCAAGTTGGACCTTGAGAAGGCTTTCGACCACGTCAATTGGGAGTTCCTGGACTTCATTATGAAGCAGATGGGGTTTGGGGAAAGATGGAGGGGATGGATCAAGTTCTGCATTTCCTCAGTCAGATTCTCTGTCCTGGTTAATAGTAGCCCGTGTGGTTTCTTTGGCAGCTCTAGGGGTATAAGGAAAGGTGACTCCCTATCCCCCATGCTATTCATTTTAGTGATGGATGCTCTGAGTAAAATGATGGATCATGCGGCGGGTGAAGGCTTGTTGAGAGGATTCTCAGTTTCGATCGGGGTGCTTAGTGCCCGGAGAGTCTCTCATTTGCTTTTTGCGGATGACACCTTGGTTTTCTGTGATGCCGATATGGATCAGTTGACCTTCCTGAAGCAGGTACTGCAGTGGTTTCAGATAGTATCAGGACTTAAAATCAACCTCGGCAAGTGTGAGATTTTTCCGGTGGGTGAGGTTGCTAACATTGATGCTTTGTCTCATGGTCTCGGATGCAAGTTGGGCTCTCTTCCCACTACTTACCTGGGTCTACCATTGGGCGCTTTGCATAAGGATACTACGGTTTGGAATCCAGTCATTGAAAGGGTTGAAAAAAGATTAGCATGCTGGCAGAAACGTTATTTGTCAAAAGGCGGCAAGGAAGTGCTTATCAAAAGCACTTTGTCGAGTATCCCTACCTATTACTTGTCCCTGCTGCAAGCTCCTGTGAGCATCACAGAAAAACTGGAGCGGCTTCAAAGGAATTTTCTTTGGGATGCGGCGGATGGAACTAGAAAGTTTCATCTAGTGAATTGGCAGACAGTCACTTCCCCAAAGAAGTGGGGTGGACTTGGAGTAAAAGATCTTAGGGTAATCAACAGAGCTTTGCTGGGGAAGTGGCTGTGGAGATTCGGGACAGAAGAGTATGCTCTATGGAGGGAGGTCAGAGTAGAAAAGTATGATTCCACGGGAGGGGGTTGGAGGACCAAGGCAATCACAACGCTGTTCGGTTGTGGCCTAAGTTGCTCCGACATGGCAGTTTAGGTGCCGTACCCGTGTCGACACGACACTAGTATTGGTGTGGGTATGGGATCCGTACCGGATTTGGTCAAACAATTTTGGGTACTTTGACCACGACGGACGAAAAAATTCGAGACTATACAATTTAATTCCCGAAATCTAAACCAAAACTAGGGTAAATTTGAAGAAAATAGCATACCTTATCTAGGAAATCAATCCTTTACTTATCTACAACTGGAGAATAAAAAAGAAATCTACACTTTACAAGCTATACATAAGTATTCCACAAAATTTCTCATAATTTAGAGATATTTTTATATTATTATTTTTTTGAATTATTTTTAGCCAGATCCCCGCACCCGTATTGGTACTAGGATCCGTATCCCCGAATCTTAGAATTTACATCTCGAAAGATCCGACCTCTAGATCCGTACCCGTGTCCGACACCTGCACCCGTGTCCGAGCAACTTAGGTTGTGGCATGTGGAGGAACATCATGAAGAACTAGGAAGCTTTCTATGGCAACATCACTTACACGGTGGGAGATGGAAGGAGAATCAACTTTTGGAATCACAGGTGGTGTGGAGAGGATACTCTGAGAGTCTCTTTCCCCCCACGTCTTCAGAGTTTCAAACCAGAAGGAATTGATGGTCCAACAGATTCGCAAGGAGCATGAAGGGGGTAGTATGGGACCTCTCTTTTAGAAGGAACATGCAAGATTGGGAGATTTCGTAGCTCCAAAATTTGTTGGCACTGCTATACGGGCAAGACAGGCCCCATCCATCTCGCGATTCTTGGAGATTGGGGTTGTGTGGCGATGGTTTGTTCACCGTAAAGTCATTTTACTAGAGTATGTTGCCGAGAGAGGAGGCTACTTTTCCATACTCATCGATCTGGATTCATAAGGCGCCCACGAAGGTGTGCTTTTTTGCATGGCTAGCAGCGAGGGGAGTGATCTTGACAGCTGAAAATCTGCGAAAGAGAGGAATTACACTTGTTAGTTGGTGCTACATGTGTAAAAGCTCAGGGGAAGAAGTTGATCATCTTATGCTGCGTTGCCATGTGTCCTGGGGTTTATGCTGCGTTGCCCTGTTAAGCTTTTTAGTGCATAATTCACGAAGTTGTTTCACTTCAATCAACCGTCCAAACTTTGTTATTGTGTGGCACCTTTTAAACCTTAAAGTCCAGAACTGAGCCTCTATTGTTATGTTGTGCTGACATGCCATCAAGAAATCTGAACTATGGAGTCAATTGGGTGATGACTTGCATAGCTGTCTTTTTCATCAGTAGATGATTTTTCGGATTGATCAAACATGCAGTCAAGTAGTAGAACTCTCAAAAGAATCCCATAAGTTGTAAAAGTACCCCATCATAGTAGTCATATTATACTCCTAATCCCTAAAGCATCTGCTTACAATACCATCATTTCTTGCTCTCTTTTCCATCATAATATACGTTCACTCTCGAGCCTATTTTTTACTTTTGCATACTGTCTTCTTCTTCCTATTGGTTTGGTTTCATCTTGATTTATTCGAACAGTTTCCTGGCCTTTGCTCATTTCTTCAACTGTTTCCATTCAGTACTCGACATGTGAAGTTGAACCTTTATATCTATGTTTAAATCTATAGCTTAAAGTGGCATAACTTTTTCCTCTACCTCTGTAAGCCTATCATAAATATCTAACCCACGGATCTATATTGATTTAGTATCTAAATCTATCAAACTCGTAGTCTATTTATTTTTCCAGATCCTGTTATTAATTCTTCTTCAGATGTGTAGTCTCGGAATCTGTATGAGCCTTAAGTTCCTACCTTACTGTATATGATTTTATTGGTGTATATTCTTTCTTTTGCTTTACTGAGTACGAAGACTGCAGGTAGAGGTGGTTATTTAGGTACAAAGGATCTTGCTCAAGTTTCACATCTTGCAGGGACATTATAGTCAAGTTTGAGGAAACAAGCATGTGCATCAAAGATAATATCCGACTAGAGGAGAAATCTATAGCCTGTCATCTCCTTGACATCATTTCTGTCTTGCTGGAGGAAGATTTCTACCCTTGGATTTCCCAGGTTGACTTGAATAATCACTTTCTCATTTCTCACGTGTTGTTGAGTAATTTAAGAATTAATAATGATCCCAATGGCTGAATGCATGAAACAGGCTGCTCCAGTCTTAGAACCACTTTTGAAATTCTACATCCACGACGATGTCAGGGAAAATGCTATTTTTGGTGAGATTTCTCATGATTTCATCTGGTTTTCTTTGTTTTTCTTTCCAATTCCTGATGCCATGTCTTAATTATAGCCATGAAAGCACTTCATGTATTCTGCTAATGGTGAAAAATCTCATGATTTCATATAGTTTTCTTTATGTTTCTTTAACTTCTTGAATTCTTTATGAGATATTGTTTTAATCTATGGTGGTTAAGCAATTTCATCCCTGTTGCGTTCTGCTAAACTGGCGGTAGAGAAAGGGACTGCTCAAGGTGGAAACAAGTGGTACTTCAAGGAGTTGTCTGGCCGTATAATATTGGCTTTGGGGGACGCAATATATTCGGTTGCCTTCAACACTAGTATTTACCTTTTTTTTTTCCTTTAGGGAAAAGGTTTGAGCTCCATTTATCTGAATAAGGAGAAAGTGACACTTTGATTGCTATTGCATGCAGGAGCATGAGACAAAACTATGTGAAATTATATTGAAGGAATTGAATCAATGCCTAAAGGTACGTCATGTTATGATGGTTTCTTTACTTTGCGGGAATTGACTCTATGCAGTTTCTTTTCTATGATGGTGTTATGCTATATTTTGAGCTTTTTATGTCCATTATGATAAGCAACACACTTGTCCCAGCTCGTGAGAATGATATTCTACTAGAAGCAAAAGAAAGTTTAGTACTTGCAATCTTTTGCATAGCAAGACCTGAAGACAAGAGTAATGAGTTGCATAGAGTAAGATCTTCAGGGATAAAGCAAAATAGGAGCTCCAGACTTGACTCTTTGGCGCATGCAGAATTCAATGTTATTCCTACAAAAAAACATTCTTGGACCGTAATAAAATGTTTAAGAACTGAAACGTGGACTAGAATTTACCATAAATCCCGTATATACAAGAGTTCCCTTGACATGAATAGGCAAGATTGACGAACAGGTTATTGACCATGTAGTAGTTGACTCCGTAGAGAAACTTCGTTTCAGTATATCACTGTTAAGCCAACTTTTGAAATGTTTCATGATTACTGTCAAAGCAAGAAACGAAACTTGTAGAAATTACGTTTATTGGAAAAGCATCTTTTCACTTATTATGGTCCTTTTTGTGTGCTCTTTCAGATAAGTGGACCACATCTTGATGAAGATCAGGTTCGTAGAATCATGAATGGGATAAAGCACGTCATTACAGAAAGTTCATGCAGAAAAGGAAAACTCACAGAGAGAGAAAAATCAGATGACTTTGATGCTGAGGAAGCTGAATTGCTCAGGGAGGAAAGAGAGCTAGAAGAAAAAGTATTTTCTAGGGTTGGTTGCATATTGTTGACATTGATCAAAACCTTCAAGGCTGCTTTCTTGCCTTTCCTTAATGAGCTTTCCTCATATTTAATGCCTATGACAGTGAGTTTCAGCTCATGGTAACCAATGATATTCTAATGCCTAGGTTGTTTTCCACCAATATTTCTCAGTGTTCTTTTTTCACTGCTTGAAGGGCAAGGATAAAACAGCTAAAGAGAGAAGTGCATGTGTAAATATCTTTAATAAACTTGTGGAGGAATGCAGCGAATCATCTCTAAAGTAGGTCTATCTTTATGAGTTTTTTCTTAAATAAGGTCACAATTCTGATAGTTACTTTCTGTTCAAACCAGGTATTATAACATATGTCTTCCTTTTATTTTGGACTCAAGCAATGACGAAAATCCAGTTCTTAGAGAGGTTTGTGCATCTTGGTGGTTGGGATAGTTTTCAGACATGTAACATTTGCTGTATGATTCATCCAAACACCATTTGATTTCATGTTCAGAATGCATTTTATGGACTTGGGCTTTGTGCGGAATATGGTGGTTTAGTTTTCAAACCATTTATCGGAGGTATGATATCGTTGAATGTGATATTGAGATTCTTCTCATCATGGGGAAGTGGACGAAGAGTGATATGTTTTTGTATTTACTAAATCTCATGACGTGATTCAGAGGCTCTTTCAAGGATCAATGTTGTGATAACACATCTACATGCTCTTGCACCTGAGAATGAACAGGCATATCATGATGCTGTTTTTGCACTTGGTCAGATATGTCAGTTTCATCGGGAAAGTATTGACTCCACGCAGGTATTTTTTTGGGAATCCCTAATGTATTGACAGTTTTAACACTTGCGATGACCAGCTTTTTGACTTGCAGATTTTAAAATCTGAAAGTCAGTATACCAGCCTGATAAATGATTGCAATAAACTAGGACGATAGATACATGGTGCTCGTTTTAACCACTCATATAGTGATTTACAAGAATCTTCTATAGTTCTTTTTTTCTTTTTTTTTAATGAAGTAATATGTTTTATTAAGAAGGCATCAAGAAGATGCAAAGTTACAAGAGGTACATGAGCTAAATAAACTAAAGATTACAGGGGAATATTGTTTGCCCCCAAACAAAGTCTCAATCAAGGACAAGAGAGCTAATAAAGTCCCAAAGGTGCCCTGTGCTATTTACGCCTACGGGGGACAACTTTGTCCAGCAAAAAAGGTTGAGCAGGCATTTAGATTTGAGTATATGGTTCGGGGTTGAGGTGTCATCAAAGCATCTTCATTCCTCTCGTTCCATAAACACCAAAAAATAGTTGCAGGGATCATAAGCCAGATCTTCTCGATGACCTTATTAACCTCCCAAAGACTCTAGCACATACGTGCCTCTCTCAGGGTCTGTGGCATTACCCAGCTTAGACCAAAAATACAAAAGAACATGTTCCATAGGTCTGTGGCTACTGGGCAGTGTAGAAGTAGGTGATTAATTGTTTCCTGGTGTCTCCTGCAAAGATAACATCTGTTGACCAGCTGAAATCCCCTTCTGCATAGATTATCTTGTGTTAAGCAGGCTTCGTGAAGGGCAATCCAGTTGAAGCATGTCACCTTCACAGGTAATTTTGTCCTCCATATCAGTTTCCAAGGCCATGAATGCAATACCTGATTCTGATTGTTAAGTTGCCTGTAGCAATCTTTAACAGTATAAAGACCTTTACATCCCCATCTCATACTGTCTGGAGCATTCTCATGAATGTTGTAGGCCTCTAATCTTGCTAGCATTTCCATCAAATCTTCTATCTCCCAATCTTGAACAGATCTTCTGAGTTGCACATTCCAATTATCATTTGCTCTGTTATGAGCAATAGAAGAATTCTTGTCCAAGGCAATGTTGAATAAGCTAGGATAGTCCTCCATGAGAGCAGTATTGTTTAGCCATTTATCCTTCCAAAATTTAATATGACATCCACTGCCTGGTTTGAAATGAATATTCTGAAAAAATACATTCCCCAGTTTACTAATATGCTTCCAGGGCCCTACTCCATGGGATGCACTAACAGTTTTGGTGCTCCAATTGTCTTTAATCCCATGTTTTGCATTGATCACTTCTTTCCATAGACTTGGTTCACATGTGCCATACCTCCAGAGCCATTTCATTAGCAAACCTTTATTGTGCTTGTCTAGATCTCTGACCCCCAATCCACCTTTGCATTTAGGTTGTAAGACTTTATCCCATTTAATCAAGTGATACTTGTGAGAACTGTTGTTTCCTTCCCATAGAAAGTCCCTCCCGATCTTGTCCAGCCTTTTAAGAACCTTTTTAGGGATGGGAAACAGTGACATAACAAAAGTGGGTACACTGTCAAGCACGCTACTGATGAGAGTGAGTCTTCCTCCCATAGAGAGGTATTGTTGTTTCCATGGAGCCAATCTTTTCTCAAAATTCTCCACTACACCATTCCAGATATCACAACTTTTGAATTTAGCTCCCAGTCGAAGCCCCAAATAGGTGGTAGGCAATGACCCTATACTGCAACCGATGATCCCTGCCAACTCCTCAATGTTGCTCATCCGATTGACTGGATATATAATACTTTTTGCTTGTTGATGTGAAGTCCAGATAATGCTTCGAATAGCTGGAGTGTAAGATTTAGGTACATGATTTGGACTCTATCTGCCTCACAGAAGATCAGTGTGTCATCAGCATATAATAAATGGGAGATAGTGACTGAGTTTCCAATGTTTGTGCCTACACTGAATCCTTGGATCCATTGCATCTGTCTTGCTTTTTTCATCATTTTACTTGAACCCTCTATGGCTAGTATGAATAGGAAGGGAGAAAGAGGATCCCCTTGCCTAATTCCTTTCTGTGGTGAAAAGAAACCAACAAGACCTCTATTGATTAAGACTGAGTACTTGACCGTAGAGATACTGTATTTGATCCACTTTAACCATTTGTCTCCAAACCCCATTCTTCTCAAAATAGATAGCAAGTAAGACTAGTTTAATTGATCAAATGCCTTTTCTATATCCAGTTTACACATAACACCAGGTGTGTCAGTTTTAAACCTCCAATCCAACACTTCATTAGCTATGAGAGTTGCATCAGTAATCTGTCTGTGTTTAATGAAAGCATTTTGATGAGAAGAGATCAACTTCCCAATAATCTTTTTCAGTCTTTCTGCTAACACCTTGGCCACAATCTTATAAACACTACCAATAAGGCTTATTGGTCTGTAATCCCTAAGCTCAATGGCTCCCTTCTTCTTAGGTATCAAGGCAATGAAAGAGGCATTGCATGATCTCTCCATGTAACAGTGCTGGTGGAAATGATTTAGTGCTTCCATAATCTCTGGTTTGATGAAATCCCATGACTTCTGAAAGAAGGCCATGGTAAAGCCATTTGGACCTGTGGCTTTATCTGGGGCACATGATTGAATGATAGCATAAACTTCATCTTCCTCAAAACCTTTTTCAAGCAGCTCACTTTCCTCCTCTGGTATTCTGGCAACATCTTCAAAGTTGGAAGATGGTCTCCACTCTTCCTTCTCTGTGTAAAGAGCTTGGTAATAGTTTAATATCTCCCCCTTGATCAATTCTTTATCTTCTGTAATCTCATTGTTTATCTTGAGCTTGTCAATTGAGTTGCATCTCCTAAAAGAGTTGGCCAAAGACCGAAAGTATTTCGTGTTCCTGTCCCCTTCTTTTAACCATAAGCATCTAGATTTTTGCCTCCAAGAAATTTCTTCAGCTTTAGCAATCTCTTCCAACTCCATTCTTAGAGTCAGAATCCTTTGTTTTTCTACTTGAGTTGGAGCTCTGCTTTCAGTTGCTTGTTCTAAGGCTAAGAGTTGATCAAGAGCCCTGCTTCTCTTAGTGTCTAACATGCCGTAAACTTCTTTGTTCCATTTGGAGATGTCCTTCTTCAAGCTCCTCAACTTTTGAATTAGCACAAAGTCTGGGTTGCCACTTATTGTGTAATTTTGCCACCACCCTTTCACCATATCAATGAATCCCTCTCTTTGAAGCCACATGTTTTCAAATTTAAAGTAAGATGTTGTTGAGTCACATTCTCCACTTTCTAGCAATAAAGGTTTGTGATCTGAGATGACTCTTGGGAGTGCTAGTTGCTTGATGGCTCTAAAACTTTCATTCCATTCTGTGGAGACCAAGAACCTGTCAATTCTTGAGGCTTGGAAAATATCCTCCCCTCTTGACCAAGTGTATTGGGCTCCATGTAATGGCAAATCCATTAGTTGCAGGTCCTCTATTGCTTCAGGGAAGCATCTCATAGCTTTGGTCCTTCTATAACAGTTCAATCTTTCAGATTCATACATACATACATTGAAATCCCCTCCAACAACCCATTGTTCCTCCCAAATACCTCTGACTGATCCCAATTCCTGCCAAAAATCTTCCCTTTCAGCATTGGAGTGAGGACCATAAACATCTGTAAACCCCCATCTGAAGTCCTCTTTGAGGCTTTCAAGAAAGCAAGTATTAGCAAAGCACCCCTGGTGAGAGTCAATACACCTCCACGATCTCTTATCCCATAGAATAAGAATGCCACCCCTAGTGCCACTAGCCTTCACCTCTGCCCATTTAGCCCACCTATTCCCACAAATTTGGTAAAGCATATTGGTTGGGATGTTCTCCATTTTGGTTTCTTGGAGACACAGAATGTCAGCTTTCCACTTTCTAACTAGTGATGTGATAGTGCTCCTTTTATCCCTGTCATTGAGACCCCTAATATTCCAACTTAGAATTTTAACCTTCATCTGGAAAGAGACGTGCCTTGCCTGCCCCTTTCCTTTTTATTCCTTCCTTCATAGTTGATGCCACAAATTAAGTTCTGAACCTCAGTTTCCCCTTTTTTCCTCCCTTTCCCCTTCTTACTAGTTGAAGAGGGTGATCCCTTTTGTTGTAATTGAACCTGTCTTTTCTGGTCCATTCTCATGATTAAGTCAAAAATTTCGTGCTCAAATCCCGCTCCATTGATCCCGAAAGCCTTGCATACTTTACCCAACACCAATTTGGTCCATTTGGAGGTTTCTACTCCGGTAGGTTGTTGAATTCCTTGTTTGAATCCCTGTAATTCCAGTTGTTCGTCATCGTGCCATGGTAGAGAAAGTGACTCAGTGTATGCCCACATTTCATATCACAACAACACGGACAATTCACGTGCCAAATATTCTCATTATTTACTCACGACACCTCGTGCCCACATTTCATTTTATAATCCGCTTGGCAATAGCCACATGCTCTCAATTTCAACATAAAACAGATTGTTATCAATTTACTATCAACAAGACCAATTGCACAAGGCATAAAAATAAACGCAAGAAAAATCACAACATCACATAAAAATCCTCAACACCACAACCCCACATCATCACACATCGTCCCTGACAATAGCCACCCTTATCGCTCCTATTACCACCCTTATCACTCCTATAGCCACCCTTATCGCTCCGCCCAGACAATATCAATAGCCACCCTTAACGCTCCTATTGCCACCCTTATCGCTCCTATAGCCACCCTTATCGCACCGCCCCGACAATATTCCAACAAACACAACAATAGTGAAATACCACCCTTATAACCACATAATATCAACGGTGAAATGCCACCCTTATCTCTCCAAAATAACAACTCACACAACACAATAATTTACACGGGAAATTATCACAGCAACATAACAAAAATCAATTCATATCACAATTTGCCCAATGGCCACAACCAAATTCCAAAGCTACAACCAAGTCAATTAATTTCACAAAAAATAGCCAAAAGCTCCACACAATGCGTACAATACCCAAAAATAATCAATAGAGATAGAAATTACTCAACATAAAGCAAAGTCTTCATAAAAATCAAATTTTCAATAATTATATAAACACCTCTTCTTAAGCTCATTTAATTAATTGTTTGCAGAAGGGAAAATCCAGAATGAAATTAAATTCCAATAATTATCAAAACAGCAAATTCACAAAATTTCATAAATAATCAAATAAATATCACAACCAATTGTCATATAATAACAGATTCAACAACAAGGATTTAGGCACGACAAGTAGATGATTAAATATATGCCAACAATTATCCAATTTACTGCAGAATATGCTCAAGACTTTAACTCAATAAAATTTGCACATATAAACTAAGTACGTACTCGTCACCTCGCGTACATGGTTTTCACACTAATGCAGTAGAGGCAACATCAGACTAGCCCATTTGTTGAGGTAGATCCCATAGATTAGAAAGAAAATTTTCCGATTCATCATCAGCTTCTGAGTGTGTTACAGGGGTTGCATGCGTGACTGCTTCAGAGAATGGCACTATGGATTGGGTCTGCTGACAAAAGGTTGAAGAAGAAGATGGAATAGCAATGTTGGGATTAAACCGTAGATCCTGTAGAGGCCCTTTAGAACTCCATACCTGATTAATAGTGGGTTTAGTTGCCTTCATCATTTGTTGGGCCTTCTTTTTTGGAGCTTTGTAATAATTAAAAGATTGGCCCACCATCTTCTCTTTAATGACTCCTGAGGTGCTCCTTTTATTGGGCCTGCTTTGGCTAATACTATTATTATTAGCCCGTTTATGGAGAAGGGATGGAAGAGGGCCCAAAAGGTTTGAATTAACGTGATGACCCTTTGACAGCTGTCCCCCCACATGCAGCTGTCCCCCCACATGCTTTGAACTGACAGAAAACCCTTCATGTTCCCCTAAACCCATCGCCTTAGTTTTTGCATCGGCTGGCCGGAAAGGTTTTGGCGACGCTGCTACCTCCTTCAGAATTGATATTTCGAAACTCCAACACTCCACATCGAGCTTTATCTTATCTGGACATTCATTATTACCATTGTTAACACAGATTCTTGCCCAGAGATAGTGATTCTGATGCCTCGTATCTTCGTCAATGTCTATGAAGCCACTACACATGTCGCCAATGATTCTATATGTCTCGAGTTTCCAAGCATTAATGGGAATTTCGAAAGCCTTAATCCATTTTTGACCAGATCTCTGCGAGGCTAACTCAGTGCCCGCCACCGGCGACCACCACTCCAATGAAAGGCGTCGACCGTTCCAGAAACAATCTGGTTCTCCAGCATGGACTCTCACTGCTTATTTTCTTGATGGAAATTCGAAGAGAAATTGATTGTGGGACATTGGAGTTACTTTCAGACCCTCGCAAACCTTCCACCTATTCAGTAACCATTTTTGTATCACCTCATGGTTGGGGCTGTAGTTAAAGGGATCGTTGAAAGTGCCGACTAAGCACCTTGAGAGAAAATAGTGATTCCCGTCTTCTGCGTGTTGGTTAACTGTATTTACAGTGTTAACCATCCTGGCTGGAAGTTTCGTCACCGGCGACCGAGAAATTTTTGCTGTGTCTGCATAGGCCTGATGAGTAGGAGGAAGTCTAGACCTGCTTGTACTTTGTTTCCCTAGAAAGTGTAAAATTTTGTTTGCTATATCTTCTCATCCCAAGTTATAATCTGCCTCGGGAATAATCACTGCTTTCTTCCTGCTCCCCAACCATGCTTCAATACGTATGAATCTACCATAGCTATTGAAATTTACAAAAGCTCTGTAATAGTATGACTGTGAACTCCATCCCCAGCGTCTGTAGTAATTCCCTTCCCTTTTGGTTGCTTGTCTGAGTGCTGTGCAAACTCGCCTGAGACTTTCCTCATCTATGTTAATATTACACGAAAATCTTCTTCCCCTTTCAACTATATTAAACCACCCCTCGCCGGAATCGATGATCTCAAAAGATTTCTCACCTGAAATAAAAAATATCTTGGCTTCCATCAGTACCTTCGTGAGTAATGAGCAGTTTGGTACTTGTTCTAGTATCCTGTCCATCTTACCACATATGATTGCTGCGCAGCAAATTTGACCATCATTTGATTTCTAGATGGACTGCCTTAAGTGTATTGGAAGCCCTTAAAACTGTGTGCTTTCTTCTATAGTTCTTATTTAATCTTTTAGTTGAAAGCAAGGGAAAATATTTATCTAGATGCATATACGCTGTGATTCCAACTTCTTTCCTTTTTAGATATATAAATTCTAGTGGCTGGTTTACATTCCAACTTATATAGTTTAATTATCCTGTAGCTGAGGGTATTTAGTTAGCTTACGAAGAGGAGATTTAGAAACTTTTATGTATTTAAAGGAAACATAAGACACTTTTATGTATAACATGCATTGTCAGTACTTTTCATTGTTTTGAACAAACTGGATGGCTAACATGGTGCTTCTTGGTGTTTGGTACAACTGAATATTACTTTTGTTTACACCTTTTGTGCATATGCTCATCATATCAGAATTTTGGTAAAACATGTCGCTTTTGTTCTTCCAAGATGAAATGATGCTCCTCCAATGTACTCCATAACTTGTTGAGATTCCATATATTTCTCATTCCATATTTTTTGCTAGATTATTCCGGCTTGGTTGAATTGTCTGCCTATAAGAGGTAACATGGTTGTTCACGACCAGCTCTGTTCAATGGTTGAAAGGTACTGTACTGGACTAATCTGCTCTAGTTTCTATCATCATCTGGTCTTTACTTTACTTTTCAGATTTTCTTTTTGTTAAGACTGTGAGAAGGCACGGGAGAAAATATGTTATTGATATTAGATGATAAATACAATACAAGAGGTCTCTATTTATAGCTATACATTAAAAGGGGATATTACTCCTCTTCTAATGTGGGATAAGACTACACTATACATATCTATAAACTAACACTCCCCCTCAAGTCGGTGCATACACATCATATGTACCGAGCTTGTTACACATGTAACTAATATGAGAACCAGTAAGAGACTTAGTGAAAATATCTGCTAGTTGATCATTCGACTTTACAAACTTTATAACAATATCTCCTAAAAGTATTTTTTCTCTGACAAAGTGACAGTCGATCTCNTCTATTTATAGCTATACATTAAAAGGGGATATTACTCCTCTTCTAATGTGGGATAAGACTACACTATACATATCTATAAACTAACACTCCCCCTCAAGTCGGTGCATACACATCATA